AACTGGCCTAAATTTACAGCTATTTGCAGCATCACATGGTCACTCAATTTACAAAGTTTTCTGTAAGAAACTGATGTTTAGTTCTGATTTCCAGCCAAAAAATTAAAAACCCCACACTCATTGAGGACAATAGATTCACTTAATAATCGCCATGTTCCCTTAATGACCAGTGATGCACTTAATTATTAAATTAAACTTACAAACTAATGACCACAGCAAAAAGGTCATAAAATTGTATCACATAGTACCCCACTTAATGACTGGCATGATGGACAACCATAATTCCAAGCTAAAGGATGGTCATAGGTCAAGGACTACGTGTACACTGGTGCAAAAACATTATATCAACTACCATGTCACTATTTGTATATACTCTTTACAGACTCCCAAATGCAAATACACAACAGTTGACAGACCATTTGATCTAATAATTAAGGCATCAGGCTAGAAAGCTGGACACTGCGAGTTCAACTCTAAACTTGGCTCAAAAAGCCAGCTGGCTGACTATGGGCCAGTCACTCTCTCAGCCTAAGTAACCTCACAGGATTCTTATTGTGGGGGAAACGGGAAGAAATTGTTGTGCTGGATATGTTCACTGCCTTATTTGTAAAAACAATAAATGTGGGATATATAAATAAATAGCAATAGGGAGTATATTTCATTCTTTTATGCTGGTCAATCTTGTCAATTAATTACATTAATTATATTAAGTGTTTTCTCATTAAAATGGTAATAATTAGACAAAGTTCATTAAAATCACACTGCACCACTTTTTTTAATTCAATTATTATCCAGTTTGTGACGCATGACTATTGAAGACAAAAGAAGACCACACAATTCTGCTCTTGAAGGTAACATCTGGTATGTAAAAGTGCTACAAAGCACCAGCTTCAGAAGAAATTCAAAGAAAAAAGCAATCCTGAAAAAGTCTCTCAGCTTCTCCATTGTGGGTATCCACGAATATTAGCTATAATTAATTAGGATTTATTTTTTTCATTTGTATGCAAACTGAAAATAGTTTATTGGTTGCAATTCAGAGTCCCAAATTATGGAACATAAACTCCATTCATGTATAAAAAGATATGAAACAATCGGTATTTTGCTACAGCATCTGATACAAATCTGCTAGGACAAAGATTTAGGCTATTTTGACCAGAGCCAAATTAGTCAACAATTTAATAAGGAACTGGCATATTGCATTGGCTTTTATGACAAAACTGGTACAGAAAAAAAAGAATTACTGGGGTAGGCACTTTAATAAATCTTTTGGTTTACAAACTGAACAGTTCGCCAAGACCTCCAGCAATTACAAGTGATCCGTAAAAAGAAAAAGAAAAATTGGCTAGACATTGTCCACGAGACAGAAAAGGCATTCCCACTTAAGAAGACTATTGTTACAAGAGGTACAAATTTAAAATATGACCAGCTTCCATGGAAAGTTTCAGATCAATGTAGGCCATCTTTAAAGAAGGAATATGAGTATATGAAAGCATAATCATTCAGGTCTACAGACAAAACAAAATCAATAACAGAGACTCTCTGGAGGGAACAGAATATTGTAATATTCTAAATAGTGTAAGCAACGTTATTACCTTTCCAATTTGCAGGAATGGCTGATAAAATGTTTTTTAACTCTTGGTGGATGGAGCAATGCTACCAGCAGTTGAATTAATGCAAACTGCATCCAAATAAGCTCAGTTACAGTTACTTATATTGATATAACAAAACCAATTACTCCAATCATTAAATTATGCCTATTAAATAATGTTCTGGACAGCATACACACAACACATAAATATTAGAAAATAAGTGACAACAATTTAAAAGCATAAATTTAGAACTGTTTATGTTACTGAACAATTCAATAAAGTCAAAACATAATCCATTTTTACATATTTATGAGTCTCTGTAGATATCTTCTATATTAGCACTATCTTGTTGACTGTACAACCTTATAAAAGTTCAATTCTAAACCATTTTTAAAAGATATTTTACATCTTTACATTCTGGTCAACTATTTAATTAAATACAGTACCAAACATGAAAAAAACCTGAAAAGCAGGGAAAAAAAAACCTCCAATTTTCAGACCTTAATAGGCAAAAAAAAAAAAATCATTTCTTTCGGGAATGTCTAACTTTGGGATAACCTATACTTCCAGACTTAACATTCTACTCTAAAGCTTTGCCATTTTATTTTTTTCTGTTATTATCTGCATGTCTCTTCATTTACAAATATACAATGGATTTATTGAAGGGCTAATAATGCAGAAGTAGCAACACGAAGGCCTCCCAATGTTGCTGAACTACAACTTCCTGAATTACTTATTACTGGCCGTACCAGCTAAAGCTATTAGAAAATACTTCAGCAACAAATGGGAATAATACCAATTACCTACACAAGAACCAAATCTGGACTGTCTGTAATGCACTGAGAAATAGCCGGCTACTACCAGTAGTTGCAACTAATGTTAAAAGATAATATAGAACATAATAGATCACCTCTTAAATTAATTGAGTGTAACCCCGCAAATAACATCAAAGCAACATTACACCAATTTATTCTTAACATTTCCATTTGTTGATCTTTACTGATTTGATTTATTGAAGGAAAATCAAGTACAATGATATGATCCTGCTCCTTGTTTATTTCCTCCATTTTGCAGCGTGTTTGAATGGTTGCTATCAAATAATCTGTTTTACACAGTAACTGCATACTAAGCATACACACAGAGTTTCTTTGCTAGTTCTGTATTTTTATACATTGAAAATATACAAAGAAAATAGCCTGCCCTCTTCTTGAATGTTTTGACTGAGATAGACAATCTATGTAGTGCACGGGACTTCCAGCATTGCAGTTGCAGTTGCTTCAAAAGCTTGAGGTTGCCACTGAAACTAGTGACAAAATGGCCTATTTGGGGCAATGTGACTTAAATTTGATCTAAGAACAGTTTTTAGAGTCCTGAATGCAAAGAAAACTGCTTCTACATTTACACCCCCAAATGAAATGGTTGAATATTTTCATTATATCATTAGAATGTTCCATATGATCTGCCAGCTGGTCAGGATGCTGAGCTTTGTCAACAAAACTAAAAGTTACTGAGCCCTAACTGAATCTATCATAATTTTTCAAATTTTTGGTGGAAGGGAGAAAAGAAACTTAACTACATTTCCTGTACAAATACACATGTATGTACATACATACATACATACATACACACATACAAAATATGGAAACATGAGTGGTTCACAGTGTCTGGTTTTATTCTATAATTATGTACATTTTCCAATGCTTTCAATGTAGGCATTTGGACTATGAATACTGTATATGACACTTGTTACATGATTATGTATATGAAGTTTGTTCCATATTAATTCACAATAGTTATCTAGGACCACTGAGTGAACTCTAGATTACAAATTTAATTTTTAAATTTACAGTTCACTGGAAAATATAGTTTTATTAAAATAGTATTTAATCTGATCAATAATGTTTCTCAACTTTTATATTTGTACAAGCAACAACTACTATAACTAATTCAAATACCACTTGTGAATCACCATCTAAAAAAGCCAGATAATTTAAAAGGTCAAAAGAAATATTGTACACTTTTTACACTAGAATCATTATCAAGTGACTGATTACTCTCAGACAAAAATAGTAAAGTGGGATGACACTTGATGATTCAACTACTTGTTCAGCAGCAATCCAATCTACTATTTTATTATTAAGCAACATTTTCATTTGGTTTTTAAACTACTATGAACACGGTCATTGAAAATTCTTACCACCACAGACTACTTACCCTTTGCATTTTATAAATTTTAAAGGTGAATCAAAATAAAATGTATGATTTATCCAATCTTTCCAGTATCTACTTAGCATCTGTGAAATTAAAAAGTGATATAATTATTCATTGATTTCAAAGGTCAAGTACCTCACTCAATTCCACCAAAAATAAAAATATATAGATTTGAATATTAATTGGAGCAAGGCCCAATTCAAGTAAACCAGCTGATTTATTAACCCAAAGTCATAAGAGAAAGTGTTTACGATTCATGCTTATGAACAAATACGTAAAATAAAATTTAAATTGTTTCACAGACAAAATGTACAATGTACCTCCTCATGGAAGCTACCATTTAAGAATTTTTGTTACAACATTTTTGGAGCCAATTATATCTAGTTGTATGTGTCTGCCAACCAAATTGACATCACTGGAAAGTTAAGCTAAAATTATCACTTTCCCTGCCACATTTGTTTGGCAGGAATAAGGGATCCTATTTAAGATGCACTTAGAAGGTGTGTTGTGTAATGGGTGAAGACGAGAGAAAAAACAAGGATAACTCCCAGTGCAGAATAAGTAGCCTGTTCACATAAGTCATTTTAGTATTAGGGAAATTATAATGATTCTAATATTCTCCTTAAATGTATTTTAAAATCTGTATCTGCAAATCTTTCCACTTCTGTTGTATATCCAATAGCTGCTGAATACATGGTTGAAACTTTTCATTGTTTTCTCTAATATAAACTGAATTATATTCATGCATTGCTAGTCTTGATCTTTTTCTGAACATTCCTTGAAATTGCAAGTTCTCACTTCGGGGAAGAAATGGCAAACTGAAGACAGTGTCACTAAAAGCAGAATCGAATAGGAAAGGAAAGGACTTGAGATTGCCCACAAGTGTTTCAGATACTCCTCAGGAGGAAACTACAAGACAGAAGTCTCCTACTGGTTTAAAGCTCTAGGAGACAAGGCAACAGGCATTTTGGTCAACCACAATCATCACCTTTGAAAGGACATTGGGTTCACATACTTCCTTTTCTAATCACTTTCAGAAATTGCTTGTTAACTGCTTTTCAGTTACCTGTATTAGAACCTTTGGATCAAAGTCTGAAAACATCAGGTGAGTTTCCTTTAATCTTTAGTGAAAGAAATTTTAAATACAATTTTAAGGATTATACACAAAGAGGTGATTTGAACTTTGTTTTTGGAAAGTTAGGAGAGAGAGAAGGCGGCTTCAGTCTAATCATTAATACAGTAAAATATGTTAACATTGGCCTTGTTAAAGGATATTTTTGAACAATGGAGCCAGAAGTTAATTTTAAGAATGTCTCCCTAACAGACTATGTTTAAAAGATGATTGAGACTGATCAGAAACTAGGTTTAAAAAGGACAAGCTATATGAATATTACAGAAAAAGATGCTACACCTGACATACAAAAGAAACCGGCTGATGTTTTAATAATTAAAAGGGATATACAAATAACAAACCAAGAGAGTGACCTAATTTTTTGTATATTGGATTTACAAAGAAGGTTTTTTAAATCTTTGAAGAATTTTGTAAGAAGAGACAAACAAAAAAAATGAAAACAAATTAAGTTCTATGATATTAACAGGATTAAAGATCAAAAAACTAAACAGATACCTATTATCATAATGCAACTTCTGCTCAGGAAATGAAAAAAAAAACCACCACACCACCATATCACCACTTGATCTAGTTTTCCAAAGTATATCTGGAGTGTGTGCTGGTTCCTACCAAGAAGGAGAAACCTATTTAATATAAATGTAAAGTTAATGTAAAAATAAAAGAACCTGGGATAGGAATATTGAGTAGTTTTGAGAAATCAAGAATGCATTCTTTAAAGCAGAAAAGCTAAGGTTAACTCAAAGCTCTAATATACCATATCAATATATATTAATAGTTTATTTGACATTTGTTTTGCAAAACTGAGTACAATTCAAATTCCATGACAGTTCAAATATAATTTGTGCAAAAATATTTATTTTAATATGTGTAGTGTTTAAAATAAAAAGAAACATACATTAGGGTTTTGAAACAATAAGCAATAAATGGAAAATGACTTTGAGAGTCAGAAGCAGACAGAAATTTTTAATGAACTATCTTGCACAAATAAAATGCTTGGCATGACCAGAAGAGGTCATTAGCCCTTGGATCAGAAAAGTTGAGAAAAACAGGTTCGTTCAAGGGATACTTGTACTTTATTGTTGAAATTCTGACAGATTCTATCTCCCCACTCATATAATAAGGACAAATAGAAGGGATAACTTTGAGGGTTTTGTTTAGGTAATGGCTTTGAAAACCTTCTTTAAGGCCATCTCCCCATATTCTATACACAAGCATTATTGTTTCAGAACTCAATTATGTCTTGGGTTTAAACAGTCAGAAGAAATAAAATCCATCACCCTATAAAATGTCATTCCTCTTTGAAGATGGCAACTGCTTAAAAAGGAAACGTACACATTGTTTGGCTAAAACAATCCATTATAGAAATGTTAAATGTAAACAGTAACAAAATATTCCACATAATTTCTAAATCATAAATTAAGCTTTTAAGATAGAAATTCTAAATCTGTTTTAGACATAAGTCACATTAATT